TGTGTGTGTGTGTGTGTGGAGTGTGGTGGATGTAGAGGATAAGCACTAAACTGCAAACCAAATGGTCGGCAGTTGGAGCCCACCAGTCCCTTCTTAAAAGAAAAATTAGGCTTTCTGCTTCTGCAAAGATTTACACCCTCAAAACCCTATAAAGGGTCACTATGAGCTGGAATAACTTGATAGCACCTAACAACAACAATAATATATGTGTATATATAAATACATACACACACATCTATTTGTTGTTTTTGTTAAATGCCATTGAGTCTGTTCTAAAAGATGGATTTAAAAGAGAAGTGAATAGGGTTTCCAAGAAGTGGCTGGTGAGTTTGAACCTCAGACCTTGTGGTTCAAACAGACCTTTTGGTCTAGTGCTTATCCTACAGTGCCAAACCAGGACTCTCTCTATATATATTGTTGTTAAGTGCCATCAAGTCAGTTCTGACTCACAGCTATCCGATATAGTGTTCCTGAAGAGCAGCTGTTGGGTTTGAACTTCTGACACTGTTTCACAGACCAGTGCCGATCCTATGTTATGTATGTATACTCATCTGTCATGTTTGCCATAAAGTAATGGCTTGTATGTTGCTGTGATAATGGAAGCTTTGTCACTGATATTCTAAGTGCCAGCAGAATCACCCATGGTGGACAGGTTTCAGCAGAACTTCCAGACTCAGACTAGGAAGAAGGAGAGGTGGTCTAGTTCTGAAAGTTTTCTCATGAACATCTCGTGAATAGCAGTGGAACATTGTAGCTAAAGTGCCAGAAGAGGAAAACATGATGTGTAGCACCAAGTATATTGTCAGATACAGTGCCTTACATTAAACCCTTCAGGTTGGAAGGTACCCAAAGTATGACTGAGGACGAGTTGCCACCTCCAAATAAAGTTTATCATAATGATGGATTCCTGGTATGGCATTGAAGGATAAGCACTTGACTGCTAACCACAAGGTTGGCAGTTAAAATTCAACAGTGATTCCTCAGAAACCCTATACAGGATAGCTATGAGTTAGAACTGACTCAAAAGCACTTAACAACAACAACATAATGACATGAACGAAGAAAAGCTTTCAGGACCTTCATTAGCTGATAGGGCACAACTCAAAATGAGGAGAAACAGCTGAAACATACATTACTAATCAGAACACGAAATGTATGAAGTATGACTATAAAAATTGTAAGTTGCTTAAGGAAAACAAAAATCCTCATAACTGGACCAATAAGCTACATCATGGCACCTGACAACAACAACATGTGCTTACTGAACTAAATATTTCACTCACATTACCTGATTCTATTCCCC